GCTCATTTCACTTAAGTCCCTATCCCCCAACATGGTGGAGAGACAAACGCCCTTGTTACCCGCCATCCCTGGTTGTAAGAGCCCTCCCAACCCTGCTACAGCCACGCAGGGCACCGCGCAGATCCTGGATTCTCCGTCGCGCTCTCCACTGCCCTTAGCGTGTCCATCCAGTCCTTTCGTTCTCCTTTAACACACCCACCTCTCCAGCGCTCTCCCGTACTCTGTGCTCCCGCGCTCTCTCCGCAAAGGCCCTCTGCCACCTCCCTCCTGCCAACTCCTGGGGGAATGTTTTCCTTCTTCTCAGATGTCCCCTGTAAAGGCGTCCCTAAGGCGCCCTCCCCGGAGGAGCCCTCGGTCCTTGGGGGCCCCTGTCTGGTTTGTGCCACTCCTGTCCTCCTCAACCAGAGCTCGGACCGTCCTGGCATCTTCAGCACTTAGCATATCTCCTGGCACATAAAAAGTGCCCCATAAATGCTTGTTGGATGAAAACACTCAACTTCCTAAAAGTTTAATCTGTTTTCTATTTAACACGCCACACACAGAAGCAGCTGTGTTATAAAGGAGAAAGCAGACGTTTACATTCTTACTAGCTGCTTGATTTGGGGCAACTCCACCTCTTTCAGTCTCAGTTTCTTAATCTGTAAAGTGGAAGTATTAATGTCTATGATGAATGAATGATGAAATAAAAGATATGAAGATTCTCTGAAAATGCAAAAAGCATTATTATTATCCCTTCTCTAACCTCATTTCAAACTTTACAGAGTCTCACAAAATCCTCTCCCCAGGTCCCGCCACTTTTGCAAGCTCATCTTTCTTCCCCATCTCTGTCCGTCCTTCCTTTCTGGTGCTGTTGTTTCACCCCACCTCCTACCCCTAGCCTGGCGGGCCCTGCTCTCCCGAGTCCGTCCTCAGTGTCCTTCCCGCCTTCGCCTTTCTCCCCCCGCATGCGCGTATCTTCACAGCTTCCTCGGAGCCGTCCCCAAGGTGCTGCGGCTTCCTGTCCCTCCACTTCCTTGGAGCTCCTTCCTGCTCTTCCCGGCACAGTCGCCACCCCTGGGGCAGGAGCGCCAGGTATGGGTGTGGGTAGCTCTTCCGAGCGCGGGTTTCACGGACGCTCCCAAAGGCGCTGCGAGAGGGCGGATGAAAGCGTGGGGCCTCGCGGGGCGGGCGGGGCCTGTCGAGCAGCCAGGAGTCCGCGGGTCCCCGGCCGGTTTTCCTCCAGAGATGCGGGGCGGGGCAGGCCTGGCCGCGGGGGTGTGTTGGGGGTTCTGGGGCCCAGGAGGGAGTCAGAGGGAGAGGCTCCTGAGCTAATTGGCAGGCTGGGTGCCAGCCGCGTGCCAGCGATGTTTAGGCGACCGGTCACTGAGAGGAGGAAGGAAGGGAGGGAGGGAGAGTCTGTCGTGGGGCCAGGACCCAGAGGCAGCTGGGGCGTGCTGCCAGCTCGCTCTCAGCTCCTCGGGTGTTCTAGGTCATTCTCTGTGTGGCTGCCTCGCTCACCAGGCCCCACTGCTCTGCCTCGTGCTGTCTTCGCGTCTCCAACTTGGCTTCTTTGACTCCTAGTCCACATCCCGACACTCTGTGTCCGCGTCCCTGGGAATCAGGGCTTGAACGCCGTGTTGGGGGAGGAGGCGCTGGGCCCAGCCCTGGCTCTGCCGGTGCAGACCCGGCTTTGGGCCGGGTTTCCTCCCGCCAGTGTACACGCTCGCCGAACCAGCGGGGAAATTGTTAAAGGATTTAAAACTTGTAAGTTGCTATGGTCATATGAACTGTACCCATTCTTCTTGGTTCTGCCGCCACAGCCAACGCTGCGCGCGCGTGGGGCTGCCTGTAGCTGCTCACCTCCCCCCAGGGCAGCCCTCACGGTCTCCCCACCTCGGTCCCCGGCAGCTCTGTGCTCCCAGCGCTGGGGCCAAATTCCGCAGAGCTCCCCATCCCCTTCCTCTGTCACACCCCACGTCCAATCCCGCAGCGAACCCTGTCAGCTCTCCAGCGGCTTATGCCCGGAGTCAGCCTCTTCCCGCCTCCTCCGTCTCCCACCAGCCTGGCCTCCACCAGCACGAAAGAAAGTCCCGACAACCCTGAGGCCCCCACAGCCCACTAGTCACCGCCATGACTTCCTACTCCTCTCCCGCCGCCCCTCCGCTCCAGCCTCGGGGCCTTCGTGCTAAATCGCGAACGCGCTGGAGGGCGGCAGCCTCAGGACCTTTGTCTCTGCCTTCCCTCCATCTGGACCACCCTCCCTAGACAAGACTTGGCTAATTCTCCTGCCTTCTTTAAAGTTTTGCTCAAATACACTCTACTGACATTGTCACCCTGCCTACCCTACCCAGCACTCCCCATCTCTCATGCCAGCCTTGCTTTGCTTCACTTCCTGGGACCCAAAGACATCGCTATTTATTTGTCACTGATCTGGTTCCCATCTGAGTGTGATTGCCCTGAGGACAGGATCCTGTCGCTTTGCTCTGGGGAGTCCCCATCTTCCCTCCTGTATCTGGCACACAGCAGACACTCAGCAATACTTGTTGAATTGATGAATATCAACTATTTTCTTTGATCTTTAAAACAATTCTTTGATAAAAGTATAATTTTTTCCATTTTACAGTCACAAAACTAACAAGAGTTCAGTCACATCTTGAAACCCTATCGTTTCCAAGTGGTATCAATGTTCCTTCACAATATGCAATGTCTTAAACCTAGTTTGGTCAGAATGAGCAGAGGTTTCAACTTTCTCAACTTTCAAGTGAGGAGGTGCACTAATGGATTTTCCATCTGCTAGAGGATGGCTGGCTCCTTCCTCCTGTGCCTCCTGAGCTGCTTCAGTCGAGGCCTCGTCCCTTCCTGGGTTTGGGCAAGAGAGCTTAAAGGGTTACTAGGTCCACCGGGAAACCGGCACTCACAGAACCACCAGAAACCTTTCCGTTTCTAGCTTCCTACACTCTCTCCGTCTTGCTGGCTGAACCTCTGATTCTGTTGAGAAAATAAGATGTCTACAAAGCAAAAGGAAAGGAGAGAGAATAAGGAAGAGAGACTGATGGAGGAGAAGGCAGGGAGGAGAAGGGGGGAAGGGGCGGTGAGTGCATGTTGAGGAACAGTCTGTAGAGGGGAGAGGCAGTTGAGTGCACTGTTTTCCGAGGGAAACCAGACATCTTATCACTCTGTCCTTGCTGCCTCTCGAGATCCCATCTCAACACTCAAAGCTCCTTAAGAGGGCTCCCTATTTCATTTATAGCACCACATTGGCACAATTATCCATTCTAGAAATTAGGAATTCATCCTTGACTTTCCTCTCCCTCACCCCCCCCCAAGACCACGTCAACACTGCCATCAATTCTATCCAGAAAACACACTTTAAATTGGCCCACTCATTTCCAGCTCCACTGGATCCTGCTGACTCAAGATGTCATTCTCTCCCACCTGGAATAGTTTTCCATCTTTAAGTGACCACCTTGTGCAACTATGCAGGATGCCATTAGCATGTGCTGGCCCTGGTCTCCCCCATTGCATTTTTGGCTTATTTTACCCCTTAACATGGAGAAATTCGCTTGCTCTAGTCCCCGAGTCTTTACTATTATCTTGTGCCATCTTTACCTGCAGCTCATCATATGTCAGCTTTGCTTAAATTAGCCCAAATTGTTTTTGTTTCTGAGTCTTTGCAAACCTGTTCTCTCCCCCGGAATGCCCTTCCCTCCTCTCTGTGTTCCATAAATTCATCATTCAGGTCTCCCTTAATTGTCACCCCCTCAGAGAGACCTTCCTCAATCCCCATATAAATTAAGGACCTTGGATGGGCGCAGTGGCTCATGCCTGTAATTCTAGCACTCAGGAGTTGGAGGTGGGTGTATTGCTTGAGGTCAGGAGTTCAAAACCAGCCTGAGCAAGAGCAAGACCCCGTCTCTACTATAAATAGAAAGAAATTAATTGGCCAACTAATATAAATAGAAAAAATTAGCCGGGCATTGTGGCACATGCCTGTAGTCCCAGCTACTCGGGAGGCTGAGGCAGGAGGATTGCTTGAGCCCAGGAGTTTGAGGTTGCTGTGAGCTAGGCTGACGCCAAGGCACTCACTGTAGCCTGGGCAACAAAAAGAAAAAAAGAACAAAAAGGACCTTCATTCTCAGTCTCTGTGCTGGATATTTATAGGGTTGTCAGATTCCACAAATAAAATGTAGGACACCCATTTAAATCTGAATTTCAGATAAACAATGAACACTTATTTAGTATAAGTATGCCCCATACAATATTTGGGAAATACTTATATTTTAAAAAGTTATTGCTTATCTGAAATTTAAATGTAATTGGATATCCTATATTTTATCTGCCAACTCTAGATGTGTGGATTGACTTTATTCCCCTTCTATCGGAGAGACTGGAAAGTAAAAAACTCCATTTTTCATAATTTGCAGCTAAGGCTCTGGATTTGAATTAAGTCCTTCCAATTAGATGTGTTTTTATGCGATTTAAAAAGCAGAATGAGATGGAGATCATTTTCTGTCAGGAGAGAGGATGAAAAAGGCCCAGTGGACTGGAGAGGTCTGTGGGGGTAGGACAATTGGGGCTGTGGTCACTACACTGGGAGTAGCTGCAGCATTTCTGACCTATGGTGATTGACTTTGAAGCCAAGAGTCCAGTTAGGACCTCCTGACTTCTAATCCTCCAGCCTTTTCAATGATTTTCTTATCATCTAGTTGCCTGAATTAAATCCCCTCCTACTTAAAAAACCTAGAGTAGTTTCTGCTTCCTGCCCTGGGGCCTTCCTGGTACAATTCTCATTACCTAGTACTTTCCCCCATAGCACACGGGCTGTATATGTTGTGTGGTTGTTTAGGGTCTCTCTTGCACACAGACTCTAAGCTGCCTCAGGGCAGTGTCTCCTAAGCTCCTCATCATATCCCAGTTTTGCAGTGCATGCACCTCTGGTTTACTCATTCTCTTTTTGTGAAGTTGGGCTTTGACTCTGAATGTGTTGTGAGTGTTCAGTTAATATCTTTACATTGAAACAGGTGCCAACGAGACAGGAAGGAAGCTGCTCCTGCACTCCTGAGGGATGAGGGTCAGAAAGATTCCTCCACATCAGCTAGATCATCTCTGGGCATGAATTTTCTTATCTATATTGTAAGGGTTAGACTACACATTGTAAATATGCCTTTCAACCTTAATATTCTATAAATCTAGGATTCTTTGAACTTAGTAGAGGTGGGCACCAGAATGAAATTAGCTGTATTTGGTGCCCTTACTGGAGATCCCTATATAAGTTAATAAATAATTTGTTTGGAAGACCTACTCTCTGTAATGGGAAGTGGACATGGAAATGGGGTGATTACCTTGAATGGGGGTTAGAAAAGGAAATGGAAAGAAAAGACTACTGGACAAAATGAGCTTCTAAATACATAAATGAGACCATGTAAATCTGTCACTTTAAGGTCTACAGTGACATATCACCACTCTTAGAACAAAACCCAACTCCTTATCCTGGGCCCTAAGATCCTGCACAGCTTGGCTCAGCATTTCTCCAATATCACCTCAAACCATTCTCGCCAAGCTTCACACTCTTTCAAGGCCTTTCCCACCGCAGGACCTTTGCACCTGCTGTTGCCCTGCCCACGGGCTCCCTCCAGCTCTCCTGCCTGGCCTCCTCTCAGCAGCCCGGACTCCTCTCAAATGTCACCTCCTTAGAGGGGATTTTTCTAACACACTATTCTAGGGATTTTTCTAACACACTATTAACAGTAGTCACACCTCCTCCAGTTAATTCCTCGTATATTACCCACTTCATACTCTTCAAAGCACTTGTCACAATCTATAATCTTGCTGGTTCATTTGTTACTTGCTTATTGTTGGTCTCTCCCAATAGGATCTAAATTGCCAGAGGACAAGATCATGTCTGGCTTGTTCTCCACGGTATCCCTAACTCCCAGAACAGTGCTCAGCAAATAATAGGGGTTTAGTAAATATTAATAGCTGTTGAATAATTAAGTGAATGGATAAATAAATGTACAATTTTTAAAGGGACACTGCTAAGGGGTTGAGGAACAGGAAGGCCTTGGGAACATTGTGAAGGATGAACAGTGAATGTTTAAGGGGGAATTAAAAGGATAGATATTCCATAGAGGCAGTACTAATAAAAAAAAAAAAGGATAGATAAAACAATAGTAGTGACATGGGCAAGGGGGGTGTCAGAAGGAAAGGAAACAAATTAGCATTCAGGATGAGCTTGAAGGAGGGACAGCATCTCAGAGGAACTGTGAGCCCTAAGCAAGATTGAAAGGGAGAGGGAAGAAGGAGGCTTCTAGGAGTGACAGAAATGAGAAAGTAAATAAAGTCTCAGAAGAAAGAAATAAATTTTTAAGGGAATTTAGAGCCAGTAAGTTTGCATTTGGTCCTGGCTTTGCCTCTGTTCGAGCCTGATCAAACCCTTTGCCCCGCCAGAGTCCTGGTGAGGCCACCGTGCAACGGCCGGACTGGGCTCACAGCTGTTATGGGGTTAAATGAGAGAGTGGACTATGGGGGTGACAATCCGGTAACACAGGTCATGCCACTGAGATCAGGACTGATTGGATTAATCTGGTGGGGTCTTCTTCCTTTATCTCCACCTTGAGTCCCTCCCTCCTAACCCTGCCCTCCCTCGGGGCATGTTTGCCTGGAGTCCTTGAAGCCTTTGCATAGGAGAACTGCCTTGCTCCGGTAGAGTCCAGTTATGTTAAAATACACTGTAAACTGCAGAGTCTTTTAAAAAATTAGTCATTATAGAAGCAACCAGCATGGAAGGAAATATTTTCTGGAAGGCATAGTGAGCGGACATTGAGAAACACTTGTGGTTTCCTTCATTCGTCCTGCTTACTTCCTGGGCCATGATTTCCCAAGTCCGGTGTTCTCCCTAGAGGTGCTTTACATTCTCTGTTCGCCCTTTTCTCTCCCTCCCTCTCAACACAACCTCCCCTCCCTTCACAAGTCCCTCCTGAGATCATCCCCACTCGTCCTGTCTCTGGTCTCTGGCAGCAGGAGCCTCACCCGCTTGTCCCCTCAGTGTCCGGGATGGCAGGTGTAGGCTGACAGTGGATACACTGTATCTGCCTCGTTACACTCCTTCACACAGGAATGGCAGATTTGCCTGATGGGGCATATACTTTACCTGCCTCATCACACTTCCCAAGGGCAGGACCATGACTGTCCTGTCATTGGTCTCCCAAACACCTCTTCATTCCTACCTCTCTCCCCTGGAAGCTCCTAAAGACTTGTGGACTTTTTAAAAGTCTGAGGATGTTACTGACACAGAGGAGAGAGACTGGAGGATAGATAAAAGGAGAGAAGGACAAAAGGAAGAGAAGGGAAAGAAAGGAAGGGATGGGCTAAGGCCTCTCCTGCCCCTAACATCCCTGGTGCCATGCATGGGTATTGAGCTGTAACATTCTGCAACACCACAAGCAGACGTCCTGGAAGGAGTTGGGAAGGGTTAGGGACAGTTACATGGGTGGCCCCGTGTGAAGTCGCGAGAAGACTGAGTGCTACACCAGAAGCAGAATGCAGCCGCGGTGAACTGCAGCAAGCCGAGCCAAGCCAGCACGCACAGACTCACATCTGCCCTTCTGGCTCTCCAGAGATACAATGAACCCAAGGGAGGATTAAAGGATCAAGTGTAGAGTTATTAGGGATTCCAGAGACAGGGAAAAGGTCTTGAGGAGTAAGATATTTCCTGGCAGAGTCTGCCTCCAAATGCCTTTTCCCTTACTGGTGTCCTAGAACCATCAGATGTGAACTCACGGTAACCAGGGTGTGAAGGCCAAGCGGAAGCTTTGCTAGCAGGAATCCTTGTCTAGTTATGGAGGGAAACTAACAACTAGCCATGAGCTTCTCCAGCCAGACTGAGCACCGTGTCCCATGACATGAGCATCTCCAGCACGGTGCCTGGAGGCTACCAGCAAGGAGTAACTATTGACTGAGAAGGACAAGAAGGTCTCAGCAGAGTCAGCCAGAGGCCCCCGTCCCTGTGCTGGATCTGTGAGGAGCAACCCAACAGCCCGGGCACAGGTCACCAGACCACATGCCAGGCGCTGCGTCAGGCGCAGGGACGCAGCAGCAATCATCAAGGTTGGGTTCCTCTTCCAGTGTCACTTAGCTTCTATTGGATAGAAACAGATCACAAGCAGGAACATACATCATCGCAGACAGTAATACATGCCGTGAAGACAGGAAATCTGGGTAACAGACAGTGAATGCCTTTGAGGAAACTACTTGAGATACAAGTGGCAAAAGGAGTCCTCCCTGACTATGGTACCTTTGAAGACGGGGACAGCCATGTGAAGCTCTAGAGGGAGAGGGCCCCAGCAGAAGGAACACTGAGTGCAAAAGCTGTATGGCCTCATAAGGCTTGGCGTGTGCAAGGGACAGAGAACATAGGCCCTGCGGCTAGAGCACCGGGAGGAAATGGAGGCACAGCGCCAGCTGCAAGGCCAGGGTCCCCCTTTGGCTGCACACTGGGACCTCCTGCAGCAGGTGGGCATTGCCGACACCTGGGACCCCTCTCCAGAGATTCTGTTTAATGGGTCTGAGGTGTTGCCTGGGCGTCAGGAGTTTAAAAGTTTCCCAGATGACTCCAATGTGCAGCCAAGACTGTGAGGCACTGACAAGACCTTGGAGACCACACAGGGTACTTGGATTAGTGACAATACAAGACAGAACTTATTGTCTGAGAGGCCTTGGAGGTGGGGATGGAGCTGGGAAAATGAAGTAATCCAGAAGAAAAGAGACAAAAGGGGACTGACGAGAAGGCCAGGACAGGCAGAGAATTCCAGAAAATGTGACAAATCAGAAGGCACAAAAACAGACCAGTGCAGACGGAATCAGAGAGCCAGAGACTGAGGGAGAAAGGGAACCATATGTACTAGCTTCCCATTGGTGCTGTAACAAGGTAACACAGACTTGGCAGCTTGAAACAATACACATTTATTACCTTGTAGTTCAGAAGCCTGAAATGGGTGTTGCTGGGTTAAAATCAAGGTGTCAGCGGGGCCTGGTTCTTTCTGCTGCTCCAGTGGGGACCCACTCCCTTGCCTTTGCAGCTTCTAGAGGCCACAGACTCCCTCAGCTTGAGGCTCCCTTCCTCAGCTTTCAAAGCCAGCAATGTCAGGCTGCACACTTCTCATGCCACTCTCTCTGGTTCTCTTTTGCTTTGGCCTCCACTTTTAGGGACCCTTGTGATCACATTGCACCCATGTAGACAACCTGGAATAATCTCCCTAGATTCAACTGATTACCAACCTTAATTCCACCTGCAAGTTTAATTCCCTTTTGCCAAGTAAGTTGACATGTTCACAGGGTCCAGGAATTAGGGCATGGCCATTTTTGGGGGACCATTATTCTATCTACTGTAGCATAGATGTACATTTTTTACAAAACAGATTTTAGTAATATATTTAGTCTTTTGCTTGGGTATCTGTGTGTTTTATGAGCAGTGACCAGGGAGGGTAGTTCCAAGATGAATATACTTGTGTTTGTTCCAATAGGTTTGTTTATCAGGGTGTCATTTTTGAGTGTCTCCCTGATAAGTATGGGGGAAGGGAAGACAGGTGTCTAATAAAGTCCTGCTGCTCCATCAAAGCCTGGCTGCTGCTGTGTTGTTGTTCTTACTAACTATAAAACTAATGACACAATGTCTCTTTGTATGTTTTCTTTGAGCATGTCCATCTGTTCTTAAATAATACTGGATGTCTCTCTCAGTGATATTTAATGCATATGAGACTACTAAGCTGTATCTGTGATGCTTGCATTACACGAGTGTGTCTGTGTGTAAGTTTGTGCACACTGGGGCATTTGGGCATTGATGGTGCACCCACGTATTTAACAATGTGGGTGATCACAGCTGTAGATGCTTACTCACTCACAACCCCCCATGGATACCCAGATAGCAAGGCCTGGCATGGGGCAGGAGCTAGGAAGAGAAGGGAGGAAGGGAGGAGAGTGGGGAAGAGAAGGGAGGGAGGAGAGTAGGGAAGAGGAGGGGAGGAAGAGCAAAACAGAGAGTTGGAGGCAAGGGAAGAAGGGAACATCAGAAAAAAAAAATCAGAAAGCAGGAGGGAGTTCCAGGGATCTGCAATTTAAAAAAGAGGCAGGGTTGGGTCACAGCAAGGGGACAAGTCAGAAGACCTAGGTATGGCTCCACTTCTGGCCATTCCCTAGCTATGCGACCTTGGCAATTCCAGCTCTCTGGGCCTCAGTGAACAATGACAGCTGAAATAGACACTTCTTGGGTACAATCCCAAGAAGGAGGAGGGAAAGAGAAAAATGGAAATAAAAAACACACGGGGAAAAGAGAGGGAAAGAGCTAGCCGGAGGGCGAGCTGAGAGCCCCTCCCTAGGCACCTGCTCCCCGCCCCTCACCCCAGAGCTTCAGAGTATGCTTAAGCCCTTAATAGGTAAGGAGGGAAGATGGAAGGGCGAGAAGCGCGGGGGAATGACAGCCACACACCAACACTCGAGGCTTGCCAAAGCCGCACAAACCAAGCAAGACCCGTGCTTCCAGCCCGGCCCTCAGATGTGGGTGCGCCAGCCACCTGGAGTGACTCACGCCCCAGCGATGCGGGCACACACGCCAAGAGCGAGCCTGGGCACTCTGCCCGCCTGCACACCACAGGCCGAGCGGAAGGTAAAACTCGGGCTCTCGAGGGGGTACAGGGGCTACCCTCCCACGCAGGGCTACCTTGCCCTCAGAGCGCCCCTAGTGACCACCTCCTGGGCTCCAGGACCCAGGTGTCCTCTTCTCCCCACCTCCTCCCCCAAACCTCACTCGGGAGGCGGGAGAACCAGACGAGGAGTTACGCAAGGCCTGATGTTTACCTCCTGCAGGAGCCTCCGCCCTCCCTATAAAGCCCGCCGTGCCGGGGAGATTCGCGCACTGGCCGAGACTCTGGCTGAAGACAGGCAGGCCCAGGAGGGGCAGAAAAGCGGCAAAACTTAATGCGGGAGACGCAGAGAGGGGCACCGACTCCGCCAGCAGCAGGACTCGCCCGCCATCTGCGCGCTCCGAGGCGGTCGCGGAGGTCGCGGAAGGGGCGGCGTGCAGACCCCGCGCCCCCATGGATGCGCCCGAGCTGGGCCCGGGGCTGGTGGAGCGTCTGGAGCAGCTGGCGACGTGTCCGCTGTGCGGGGGCCCCTTCGAGGACCCGGTGCTTCTGGCGTGCGAGCACAGCTTCTGCCGCGCGTGTCTGGCTGGCTGCTGGGGGGCCCCGCCGGCGGCCGGCACCGAGGCTCCCCCCACCGCCTGCCCCTGCTGCGGCCTGCCGTGCCCCCGCCGCTGCCTGAGGTCGAACGTGCGGCTGGCCGTGGAGGTGCGGATCAGCCGCGGGCTTCGGGAGAAGCTGGCCGAGCCTGCGGCCCGCGCGGGGAGACGCCGAGGGGGCCGCATCCCCACCATGGGCTGCCTGGACCCGCGCGCAGAGGTGAAGCTGGGGTGCGCGTTGCGGGTCCGCAGCTGTTGGTGCAAGGGGAAGCTTGGCGGGTCCCGGGGTGGCCTGCGGAAGTTTAGGCAAGGGAGTTGGGGGAGAAAAGCAAAGGATGAGGGGCGGGCGACCCCGGGTCCTCACGGTGAGAGGTGTCCTGAAGGACGATGAGGAGTTGACACTTGGTCCAGAGGGGAGGAGGCCGATCGGGTGCCTGAGTCTAGAGAGAGGAGCTGGAGAGAAGAGTTGGGAGGCAGAGAAGGGGTGGCGTACTAGACAGAACGCGAGAGCCTGGAGCCCCGCGAAGAGCGCGGGGACTGCGGGAGTTGGGGCAGCAGCGCGGGCGCGCGGGAACCGGACAGCTGGCGGAGGGCAGGGAGCCGGCGGGAGGGGCCTGCTGGGGCGAGGGCGGGCAGGGGGCCGAGGAGGACGGTGCGGGGGTGAGGACTGGCGGGGAAAATGGGAGCGGTGCGAGGTGCGGGGGGCAGGTGCGGAGAAAAGGCTGGCGTGGCGGAGCGGAGGATGGAGGAAGGGAATGGGGAGCAGATCCAAAGTCCCTGTAGTGTCGTGGGGTCTGTCCCTGGACTCGGCCTGTAGCCTAGCTGTGTGTTATTGTTATTCTCGGTTCACCAGAGGGCCCCAGGGAGGGGCGGCGACAGACGGAGGCAAGGTCCGGAGCACAGCCTTTGGGGCCTCGGGCTCCTCTCCGCAGCCCAGCCTAGCACCCACGCCCCCCGCGCCTCGGCCAGGCCCGACTCCTTGGCCGCCAACCAACTCCATTCCCTTGCCCGCCCCCCGGGCGTCTTGGACGCCCCACCTGCTTCTCCCCAGCAGCCAAGCCGGGCTCGGGTCTTGCTTCCGCCCTTTGAAGTGTTCGCAGACCTAATTAGTCCAGGCGTAATTGGCATACTGGGGTTTGTCTTTCCTCTCTCTCACTCACCACTGTGCCAGACGGCAGCACTGGGCAGCGAAGTGGAGGGGTCAGGGATCCCACACCTGGAAGGGGAGCATCTAGCGCCCTCTCCTGGGTCCCATGGCACACTGCGGGTCTGCCGGGCCTCTTGGGACACATCCAAGACCAGCTGCCTCCCTGGCCTGGGTAGATACACAAAACAAAAGGCCCAATAAACGCCACCGGGCTTTTATGGCAAGAGAGGAAGCAGCTTTATTGTAAGGCTTTTATATGCCAACTCTTAGCCCAAGGGCCCCGGCTGTGTTTGGTCTGTGTGAATCTGGGTCAGAAGACTTTTGTCTAGGATACACTCAGGTAGGTGATAAGGATGGGGCCATTGAAAGACACAGAGAATGGGGCTGAGAAGGCAGCAGAGGGAGGCAAGCAATGGGGCAAGAAACAGGCATGGATGAGGCTGGGGAAGGGGAATTGAGAACCCTTAGGGAATGGAGGGGGAGGACAGTGGGGGTGAAGTTAGGAGGATGAGGAAAAAGTGGTGGTGGAGAGAGAGGAAGAATGGGTTGTGAAAGGCGAGGGGACAGAACGAGAAGAGATAGGAGCACAGGGGACTTGGAAGTAAGATCACTCTGAGAGGGGGAAGGGAGCTCACCTGAGGAAGCAGATGGGGGAGGGCACCCCACACTATGAAGCCCAGAGCTCATATCCATGTTTTTTTTGCCCAACCAGGATATAAGGAAGACATGGAGACGGTGAGTTCCACTTTTACTGTTCCTTTTCACTGCCAGAGGCCATAGCCATCACTCTCCCACAGGCCACATCTTTGTCCCCAATCACAGGCAGGTTTTCTGGGGCGTGGCCTCAACCTTTCCTCTTCCAGAGATGTGAGTGGGGTAGGGGTGGGGGCATTAGCATCAGAGGGTAAAGGGTTGTCTACTGATTTCCTGACCCTTCCCCTCATCTTTCCAGATTTGATGTCCCAACACCCAAGTCATCTAACTCAGAGGATGATCTCCCTGAAGATTACCCAGTGGTCAAGAACATGCTTCACAGACTGACCGGTAAGGCGGGCAGAAGGGAGGGAACTGAAGCAGAGTCTGTCTTAGGCTTTCTCCCTTTTAGCTCTCAAAAATGATCAAGTCCTTTTTGATGTCTGTATGAGTTTCCTAAGAATGTTTGCTGCATAACAAAGTGTCGGCCATGTGGTTCCCCCTGGGGGCCATGTGAGAATTTGTTCCATGCCTCTCTCCTAGCTTCTGGGTCTCACATGTTCCTTGGGTTATAGATGGTGGCATATTGTCTTCCTTTTGTATGCATTTGGCTCTGTCCAAATTTCTCTTTTATAAGTCAGTAATCATACTGGACTGGGCCTAAACTAATGACCTCATTTTAACTTGATTACTTCTGTAAAGATCCTGTTTCCAAATAAGGTCACATTCTGAGGTATTAGGGGTCTTCAGCATATTATTTTTGTGGGGGGATACAACTCAACCTCTAATGTCTGTCCTCTTCCTCATATTCTAGCCATTTTCTCTCTTTCTTTTTCACACAAACAGCAGACTCCCGGAGGTCACCTGCCTCTCAGGAATCTCTGCTTCCATCACCTGTCATCACTCCTCTCCAGAAGAGATCTGGGACCTCAGCATCTCCCTGCCCCTTCCTTCCTTACTCACTCCCCCAAAGAAGGATGCCCTCTACCCTTCTTTAAAATGCCTAGAGAAGAAGGTCTGCCCTCTTGGTCACCCACTATCCCACCCAATCCAGATTGCTTCTGGCACTCCTAATCCAGAACTCTTTCCTCAAAGCACCCCACGCAAATAGAGCCAATGGTCCTTTTTTCTCCCCTTCCCTACACCACCTATAGGAACAGGCCTGGCCACACCCACTAATTTCTGTGGGTGGGTGGGCTGGTTTCTCAGGATACCTTGGATTCCTCCCTCTGCCCCTCCCCTCTGTCACTTCAGGTGTCAGTCTTTCTCTTTAGATCCACCTTCTCCATCCTGCCCACCCAGCTCCCACACCTCACCCCTCACCCCAGACGCTGCAGATTGAGGTATCAGTCCTCACACCTCCCTAGAAGTCGTATCAGCCTCACATTTCCTCCCCAATCCTACAAATCAGACCACCTTTGCATTGGTCTCTGTGCTGTGCCCTCTGCCCTGAGCCAGTATGGTCCTTCTCAAGTCTAATTCTACAGAAGTGGTGCGTTGGTGCACAGTTTCGATAGTGCCCAGGCCTGCTCTTCCTATGTCTGCCTCCTTTCTGGTCCTGCAGCCACCTTTTGAGGTCACTCACTAGCACTCTTAGTCTCTTGCGTGCCCATTCTTCACCCCACCCTGCCTCTCATTCAGAAACCCTCTCACGCAGTCCTCTCCCTGTTTCCTCCTCTCCAGCTGACCTGACACTGGACCCTGGTACCGCACACCGCCACCTGCTCATCTCTGCTGACCGTCGCAGCGTCCAGGTGGCCCCACCAGGGACTCCCGCGCCCCCTGACGGCCCTACGCGCTTTGACCAGCTCCCGGCTGTGCTGGGCGCACAGGGCTTCGGAGCTGGCCGCCACTGCTGGGAGGTGGAGACCGCGGGCGCCGCCTCCTGCACAGACTCTTCTGGGGACGAGGATGACGGGGAGCGCCGCTATGCCGTGGGCGCGGCAGGGGAGTCGGTGCAGCGCAAGGGTCGCGTGAGGCTGTGCCCCGCCGGAGCCGTGTGGGCCGTGGAGGGCCGCGGCGGCCGTCTCTGGGCCCTCACGGCACCCGAGCCCACCCTGCTGGGCGGCGCTGGGCCCCCGCCGCGGCGCATTCGAGTGGACTTGGACTGGGAGCGGGGCCGCGTGGCCTTCTACGACGGCCACTCGCTGGACCTGCTCTTCGCCTTCCAGGCGCCCGGCCCCCTGGGGGAGCGTGTCTTCCCGCTGTTCTGCACCCGGGACCCCCGCGCCCCGCTACGCATTGTGTCAGCGGAAGGCTGAGGGTCTCCCCCCAGCCTCCACGCCAGTCAGCAGCCGCCGCGAAGCTGCTTCCTTTGGGGCTCAGAAGTCCCCACTCATTGCAGGGATCATGTCCGCACGCCCACTGCAGGAGTAATAAGCACCCCACACCAAACCGTATTATCTCTTCTCTGTCTCATTATTTTCCCCCCAGATAATAAGGCCTCCGCTGGCTACAGGTTTCCATATCCATGTCCAAAGCCACATCCGTTCCTCCCCCTAGCACCCTAATCTTCTTTCTCACTACTACCCCAGTACTTCCCACCTACTTTCTCCCCTTCTGTACTATTCCAGGTCTGAAGTGGGGAGCAGGCCCTGCCCTGTCAGTACTAGTAAACTGCACGTTTACTACACAGGGGTCCTGCTAGTCAAGTCAAGTATTTACCTCCCACTCTTGCCCGTACTAGCTCCAAAGGAGGGCTCAGGGCCTTCTCCATGGCTCTAAGACTTGGGCTTCCCTGTCTGTCCACTCTGAAGTTTCTCCTCAAGAGAAACAAGAGACTTGACTCTGGCCTGGGCCCTATGGCCCTCTAGGAAGCTTAATACCCCTTTTTGTGGGAGGCAGGGGGGCAAGCCAGTTCCACTCCACCCTCCTGTGACTTTTTATGCTCATGGCATTTTTCCATAAAACCGCCCCCTGCATGTACTCACAGAAAGGAACCAATGGTGCTGCCTCTCCTCTCCTCCACCTGGGAATGGCCTAGACATCCCCAAACTCATCTTTGTACATAGTCTCATATCTTTCCCCATATGTATAAATGGGCCCATATTTAACACATTTTGTGATGTTGGGTTATTTATTTTGTGCATCTGTGGCAATAAATGAGATCTCAGTGGCCATATGGATTTGACTGATCTCTCCAACTGTGCATGGGAAGAGGACTGGAAAACAACCATCAGATCCCAGGAAGGGGTGGGGAGGGCTGAAAGAGCTGAACACCTCGGCTGGCAGAGACATCAAAGGGTAGGAAGGAAGGGGTGAGAGTGCAGTGCAGGGGACACCCCTATCCCTTTGCTCCCTCCCTCTTTTCTCTCTTAGGTACCCAGGCCCCTGGAACTATGTTGGATCTGTCTGTGAAGCTGAAAGACCAAATTTGAGGAGATAGTTGGCTCTAAGTGACCTGTCTCAAGCCAGTTTTGTCATAAATGCTAGATAACATGAGAAAGATAGGGAGAGAGGACAATGGAACTTTCTTGTTCCATTTTCCATTAGAGGTGAGAATGATAAAGAGCCCTCTCTCCTAACTCCTCTTGAAGGCATGAAGGGGGCAGGCAGGAAGGGAAGAACTGGGAACTCTGGGTCTCCCATAAGAACTCATAGCCCACAGGCAAGGACTAGGAACTAGGATTACATAAATACCTCAGTGGAAGAGCTTTAAACCAGGATTAACAAGCATAGCTGGGGCGAGATTGCCTGGAATTTGATTGGGACCCCGGCAGTGACAGCTGGGACTATTGAAAACCCAATTTAAGTGTTTGCTACTTAAGTTGAGAGTGCAAGGGGCCAAGATAACAGATCCCAGGACAGGCAGTTTGGCAGTGAGAACAAAGGAAGAGACTGGGACCAAGATTCGTGGATCCCAGAGAGGGGAGGGTGGGTATTGGCAGGAGAAATGAGGACTGGGGGAACCCAGGAGCCTGGGTTCTAGAATAGCAGCAAGTCAGAATTCCAGGATCTCGGTCCACACTCCTCTTTTTCTTCCCTCTATGAGGCAGAGGTGAGGGAAGGAGGGGGTGGGTGAAGGGATCAAACCATAGGTTTAGTCCTCAAGTAGCCACATGGATACATTCAGGGCCAGACACAGGAAAGTTGGGGGAGAGAGGAATTTAGTGCTGCATTGGCCCTGGAGGGGGCTGGGAGGGGTCAGGAGGCTGAGGAGGGGTGGTAGGGGTTGGTCCAAGGGTTGCACGACGCCGTCCTTTGCGGTGGCCGCGTACACAGTGTGTATGACCACAGCCCTCCTCTTCCTCCTCATCACTCTCCGTGGAGCTCTCACCAAAGGCCCGAGGTTTCTCATAAATACAGCAGCCTGGATTTGGAAGGAGGAGCTCAGTTAAAAAGGAGGAAGAGTAAGATGAATAGTCAGTTCCATTCCCCCTCAATCTCAGTGAAAATTTCTACTTTCACCATTGTCTCCTTCTACCTTCCAGGATCCAGCTTCCCCAGGCCCATGCCCTGGGACTCAGGCACCCAATTCCCTTGTTCATTTAGAGAGCCAAGAATCCAAAGCCCCACTTCTTCCATTCTGACACCTCTTACCATCAGGCCCTGGCACACCACAGTTCTAGCCCCTCCTCACCTCTTTCCCTCTAACCTTAACCTCCTTCCCTCGATGCCATAGAACCACCAAGAAAGTGACAAAAATATGAGCATTCTGGGGCTTCTTGGAGGCCAGAGGCTGTGAGAAGGCAGAAGATGCACAGAAGGGAGCCAGAATGGCAGGGTTGCTGTGGGGCAACAATGACTCACATTTTGATGAGCGGCGCCCCATGTGTTCATTGTCCACAGTGTCACTCGTCCATTCCACCTTTTTCTCGGGCTTCCGTTTCCGAAGTTTGATGGTTAGGCTGCGGTTCTCCTAGAAGGGTAAGAGGGATGGGCATGCCTGTCTTAGTCCCATCCTACTGACCTTTCCCACTCCCTCCCTGGGGGACCTTCTCTCTTCTCTTCCCCACCTCAATCAGTACATAGCACCAGAAGAGCTGAGTACTGAGAAAAGCTAAAACAGAACAGGTCTTTGACCTCAAGAAATCCCTTGAGGAGTAAGTATTATTTCTTGTTCTTGATAACCACCAGTACACAGAGGAGACACAATTCCTAACCTATGGAAAGCCCCACCAGTAAATCTTCAAAGGAAAATATAATCCTCGCTGTTTTTCCATCTTCCTCTCCAAATCATCCTTGGTAGTATTAACACAAGAAAATTATTTTTTCAGTCTCCAGTGCCTAATCTTTGATTTCCTTTTCTTTTTCCAGGTCCCTGTTCTTTTTCCCATTAAAAAAAGACATCCATTCTTCTCTCTCTCATTTTCAAGTCTAGGTCTTCCCTACCTGTTAGCCATCCATTCTCTAGCATCCTGAGATCTCTAGTAACAACTATTGCTAAACTACTAATTACTAACCTCCCTTAATCCAGGTTATTAAGCCCAATGCAATCTTTTGCCTTTGAAAGCAACTTAACCTGTTTTTGCAAAATGCTACTTGTTTCTCCATTACATCTCCCCTCTCTGACATCTCTCCTCTCTGATTTTTCAAAATATTATTTTCATATCCTTTTTTTGTTTCCTCATTCCCTCCACTTCGTTTTACATTCATCCTTTCAACAAATATTTATTGGTATGTATTAATATTTATTGACCAGCTAGCCTCCAACCATACTTTCTTACATGGCCTAGCATTTCCTCAACATTTTTCTCGCTTCTTAACCCCCAATTTTCCATTCGTTCCTTACATATACGCACCACCTTGCCAAGTAGCAATACCTATATCCTAACTGTAACTCCCTATTACATGTCCCTTGGCTAGTCTCCTGCACCATCACTGCCACTCTGAATTGCTCCAATACCTTGAGATTCTCCCAGCCCGAGATTCAACACCACACTTCCCATATTTCCAGGCCCAGCCGCGCCAGCAACTCTCCTAAGCCCAGTCCCCTCCCTCTCGGCATCTCCCAGACCCCTAAGCAGCACCGCCCCCCCACCCCCGCCTTTCTCACGGGCTCGGTTGTCACGGTAACCGTTGTCTCAGTGACGGTCTCACTCAGCCCGGTCCCTGCCTCGGCCATGGCTAAGGCTGAGAGGGAGGAGGGGAGGAAGAGGATGAGACCTCCTTCCCTTTTGTTGTGTCTCTGAGGTCTAACAGAAGCGGTATAGGTTTCAGAGTGGTAGCCAGGATCCTCTGCCTTCTTTTTCCCCCTCCTCCAGGGCCTTCGCTTCCCCACCCCTGGGCACAACCTGTCCAACCCCACTTCCGGCTCTCCGCTTCCGGGTGTGACGCATTCTGCAGTCCCCCCTTTCCCGACTCCCGGCACCAAATGCGTCAAAGCGCAGGCGTCGCCGGATTAGTTCCGCCCTAATACGACAGTGCGCAGGCGCTGCAAGGAAGAGTCAAATTTAGTGGAAGAGGCGCCCCTGCGGGTGCGGGGCAGAGGGCGGGCGCCCGGCGGAGACGCCGCTGGAGTATCACCGGCGGCGCTGCGTACTGGGTGCGTCGAGTTGAGAAGTCCTATAGCTGAGTCCGTCTCCCCTCTATGGGCGGGTGGGAGGACGCGGGAAACCTAAAGGGCAATAGTAATGACCCTATCTGGGCTGTTTTCATTTCTTTATCGTTTGGTCTGGTTTCCCTGGAGAGAAACGGGACCTGGGAGCAGTTGGAAATAAGATTAAGATGCAAGCGATCTGGGCTCTGGTCCTCGCCCCATGCTTGTAGGTGTTTGAGCACTTAGTGTACTTTCAGCTTGGGTTTTTCCAGTCACTGTGGAGGCCTTGAACATAGAGGCAGGTAAGGCACTCAGAACCTGCAGTTTAGCTCCCAGTCTAATGGGAAAGACGGGCATGCTCAGAACTAACAAAAATATTAAGACACTGGGCGTAAACATGGAACTAAGTTTGATCTGTGAAATTTGAATTTAGTTACACTACCAACATACTCTCTCTAGGGTGATGAGTAGGACTAAGCAGAGATATGGTCATAAATTACAAAATAGGCCATTATGTGAAAGTATGTGCACGTTTCTTAGAGGGTAAAAAAAGTGGGAAAGCAAGAACCAGAAAGGCAGATTTTTTTTTAAGGTAGAGAACAGCTTACAGTCATAGGTGTGTGCACTGAAAGAAATGGAGTTTTGTACTGCTAGGATCTAAAGGGAGTGCCAGAGGAGGCTTGGCAGGTAGGCGGTAGTTACATGAAAAGGCCTAGGATGCTTTGCTAAGAACTTTGGATTGATCCAGTCAGTGTTAGGGGCCAGAGAAACGGTTAAAGAGGACAGAAACATGAACAGATTTGTTTCAGATTTCAGGAGTGGGTCAGGAAAGTCAACTGCTAGAACAGTTTAAATGTAAAGTGGGGAAGACAGCTCTGCTCATTCTTCAAGTTGCTGTTAAGGTCAAAGAAGATAATGTAAGCTTGAGAGCCCCGAGTATACAAAGGACCACACAATTACAAGATGATCATTTTCACTCTAACCCCCTGGCCACCATTTAAGCCAAGGAATGCAGGAATACTAATTTCCAGAATCAAAATTTGAGTATTTGATATTGTGCCTGGACTATGTATTTGTTTCCCTTGAAAGTTTTTGGTTCAAACTGAAAAAAGCAAGATACAATTCAGCAGGTACATCATAGTTCATTTAAAAAACCAAATATAGGCCAGGACTATAGCTTATGCCTGTAATCACAGAATTTTGGAAGGTTGAAGTGGGAGGATTGCTTGAGGCCAGAAGTTTGAGACTGGCCTGGGCAATATAGCAAGACCCTGCTTCTAAAAAATTTTTTAAAAATTAGATGCATGTGGTGGCACTCGCCTATAATCCCAGCTACTTGGGAGGCTGGGACAGGAGGATCCCTTGAGCCCAGGAGTTTGAGTTGAGGTTGCAGTGAGCTATGATGACACCACTGCACTACAGCCCAGGTGAGAGCGAGACCCTGTCTCAAACAAAACTCAATCAAAGGCTGGGTGCGGTGGCTCACGCCTGTAATCCTAGCACTCTGGGAGGCCGAGGCGGGCGGATTGCTCAAGGTCAGGTGTTCAAAACCAGCCTGAGCAAGAGTGAGACCCCGTCTCTACTATAAATAGAAAGAAATTAATTGGCCAACTAATATATATAGAAAAAATTAGCTGGGCATGGTGGCGCATGCCTGTAGTCCCAGCTACTCAGGAGGCTGAGGCAGTAGGATTGCTTGAGCCCAGGAGTTTGAGCTGTGAGCTAGGCTGACACCACAGCACTCAGTCTAGCCTGGGCAACACAGTGAGACTCTGTCTCCAAAAAAAAAAACTCAATCAAAATATTTATACATGCACAAACATATAGCCATACATACATACACAAGCACAAATATATAGTATAATTTGGTTGTCTCAGCAGAATGGTATTCCTTGTGACTTTTACTTTTTTATTTCTACCTTTCTATATGAGAAACTATTACAATCATTACAATGAACCCTTGAGTGACGCAGGGGTTGGGGTACTGACCCCAGCACAATCAAAAATCTATATATAGTTTGGACTCTACCAAAACTTAACTATTAATAGCCTACTGCTGACCAGAAGCCTTATCAATAACATAACTAATTAACATGTATTTTGCATATTATGCATCATATACTGTATTCTTACAATAAAGTGAGCTAGAGAAAAAACAATGTTATTAAGAAAATCATAAAGAAAAAATATATTTACTCTTCATTAAGTGGAAGTAGATCATCATAAAGGTCTTTATTCTCTGTTTTCAAGTTGAGTAGGCTCAAGAGGAGAAGGAAGAGGAAGGGTTGGTCTTGTTATCTTATGGGTGGCAGAGGTAGAAGAAAATCCAAGTGGGACCTGAGCAGTTCAAATCCGTGTTGTTCAAGGATAATCTGTATAATAATATTTATCTCAAGAGTCATAAGTACCCCTATGGTAAGTATACACTGATACCCCTTAGTATCAGGTTTTTTGTCCAAATTTATAGGCCAAATAGATCTGGTTAAAATTTCTGTTGAATCTCTCACTATCTGCATTCCTACTTTTCATTTCCCTAAAGTGAGAAACCAAACAGATTTAGATAGTGTGGGAATACTTATAAATGCTTTTTATATTAGCCTTATTTCTGGCTCCATTTTTTTGTTCTTTTTTTTCCCCCTCCAGTTTTCTTTTTCATACAAATATATTTGTAAGCTCATTTAAATTCCTTTGGAAAAAGACAGATTATATGTAACACATATGTCAGGGTCTTATAGAAAAATACAATTTTAATAAGGAAACTCAACTAGAGGTATCTTACTCCAGGGACAATAGTAATCCTCATATGATGATTTGATTCTCCTCTGGGAGCAAAACATTGCAACCAGAAGGGATGGACAAGGCATCCCTTGTCCAAGAACTCAGTATTCTTCACCTTCCAAGGAAGAGGAGGGACAGACTGTGGAGCTGCCCAGGAAAAAGATCAAGAATCTTCCTTCTCTTGGAACCTATGAGGAAAGAAGGGACTTGTTATAGTAAACCAAAAGAAGAGTTTCTAGCAGTACAAGATAAGATACTCAAATAATCAAGGAGAGATTTTTATTTATGAGATTGTGGAGGACTAGCTCCCCTAAACAACTCTCCAACTCAAATTTAAGACAACTAAAAATGTTGGGATTAAAAACATATCTAGGCTGGGTGTGGTGGTTCACACCTGTAATCCTAGCACTCTGGGAGGCCGAGGAGGGAGGATCTCTCGAGGTCAGCAGTTTGAAACTAGCCTGAGGAAGAGTGAGACCCCGTCTCTACTAAAAAATAGAAAAAAATTAGCTGGACAACTAAAAATATAGAAAAAAACTAGCCGGGCATGGTGGTGCATGCCTGTAGTCCCAGGTACTCAGGAGGCTGAGGCAGAAGGATTGCTTGAGCCCAGGAGTTTGAGGTTGCTATGAGCTAGGCTGATGCCAAGGCACTCTAGCCCTGGTGACAGACTGAGACTCTGTCTCAAATAAAAAAGAAATATATATTTGAGTATGAATATTTTTAATCCATTGATGAGATGGCAAGAAAGTAAAGGCAACCTTCACACTGATTAAAAGTGATGTAAAACCAGAAATCTAGACAGTTAAAACTGAAGACCCTGCTAGGATGATTGCCCTTAATATTGTTTTTTTGAAAGCCATAAGCAGCATAAGAAACCAGAGAAAAAACCTATAATGTCTGATTGGAGATCTGCATAAATTTGGGACCCCTAAAGGGTTAAAAGAGAATAACAACAAAAAAGTCAACTCTGTAGAAGGGGAATTTGTCTCAATAGATAAAGGGAGAGAAAAACCTCCCCTAAGAATTTTTAACCATAACCTGGCTCTTATAAGGATTTGCAGCTGAAATTCATACTATGTGTCTGCTCCAAGAAAACCTGAAGACTTTAAAGTAATTCCAGCTTGATAGTGCCTCAAGGCATCTGGGGAAAAAGAAAAAACACAAATGCCAGGAATACAGCATGCACTCCAGGCCTCAAAGAATTCCCATAGTTCAGAGTTTTATAAAACCCTCACTTACAGTCAAAAATCACAATACAAAGAGAAAAAGCACCATGAGAGAATCAGCAGAAATAAAGACAGCAGGGAGTCCACTTACTTAAGGTTTCTTGGTTGTGGCTCCGGGTAAAAAAAAAAAATTAAAAAAAAAATGACAGCAACATCAGACATATAAGATCTGTGGATATCAGAATTATCAGGCATAGAATAGCCATGTTTAATATTTTTAATATTCATTTAAAGAATAAAAGGAATACTTTTCCTTTAAATTGAAGAACTGAGAATTATAAAAAAAATGATTGAAATTTAAAAAATAATTAGGTAGAACTCAAAATAATGATATATAATAATAATTGAAACTGAAGACAGATTTAGTGATCTGGAAGACAGACCTGAATAAATTACCCGGAAGGCAGCAAAAGAGAAAAGAAATGGAAAATATGGAAGACAGGGTGAGAGAACTAGATGATAGAAGAAAAGGTCTAATAACTAATTAGAGCTCCAGAATATGGGAAATGAGACCATGGAGGAAAGGCAATGTTAAATGAGATAGTGGCTGATGAATTTTCCAGGGTTGATCGAAAAAAAGGTCTATTATCACTTTCAGAAAGTCCAACAAATCCCAAACAGAATAAGTAAAAGGAAGCCACATTTTGATATACTGTAGTGGAAGTGCACAACACCACACACAAAAGAGGTGGTCTTAAAACCATTCAGTGTGCCCATGGTCTCTAAATCATGCATGACTAATTCTCACCATAGTAAAGCTACTTTGACTGCAGTTTGATGCATAAAATGATGACCACTAAGCAATACCTGCCTTGACCACAAATTTCTAGCATAAAATGATGACCACTAAGCAATACCTGCCTTCTCTGTTTTTTAATTTCCTTTTATATATCTTAAAAGGTTTACTTCACTGGCTATAAGGGCTAAAAAAAGGTGTCATTTTTAAAAATAACAACCACAAAACTCTCCCTATTACCAAAACTGCACTGAAATGAGAATAGAATGAAAGGAAACAACTGTTTAGTATGAAAAATAAGTCACTGGATTTGCTCAGTTAGCAAAACGACTGAGACAGGGCAGAGGGAGGGGAAAGGATACCCACTTGCAGTTGGTACAGGTGTAGAAGACGGTCTGCCCTTCATCGGCTGAACGCATCTGCCTGGTGTGGTATGCCATTCCCTCATGACCACATCGAGAGCAGCGCCTGTCAACCTGGGGAGAAGCCGGTGGGTCAGGGAGGCCTTGTCATGTCCCCCTACTTCTCACAGCAATCAGCCTATCATGCTTCCTCAGATATTGATGCTTCACACTTCTCTTCCTTCTTGGAATGGGGAAAAAAACCTCTGCAGATCTCCGCAATCACTCCTCCATTTCTTTCCATTCACCTTATGGAGCCAGTCCTTGATCTCATTAACGTACCACAGGTCCCTGGAACTCAGGCCCTTCCTCCACCGACACAGGCATGGCTGTCCCCAGTTTGTGGAACACAGCTGAAGTCTTCACAACCTTCCCCTCGAAGTCTGTGCAGGCAAGTAAGAACTGCTTGGAGACAAGCGTAGGGTAGCCGACGCCCGAAATCCCCCTCTCCCGCCCGATCAGGCCAGGAGGCTCTACCTCCTTCCCTTCGGGTTTCGTCCCTAGACCAGATACACGAGTGCCGACCGCCTGTCCCACGGCCCGTCCCCCAGTCCAACCCATGTGAGGTCTCCCGGCCTCCGACCCTGGGCCCGCCGCCAGGGCACGGCGTACAAGCCCCTCACCCCGAACGCTGATGGCGAAGCCGCAGCGAGTACAGGTGACCGCATCCTGAGCCCCGGGCAGAGGCAGGACCGCGCCGCAATCTGGACAGAAATCCAAGTCGGACTGAAAGCTGGAGCAGGTGCTGGCGAGGTCCATGACCGACATGCAGCGGAGAGCTGGAAAGGGAATGAGAAGTTCATCACCAAAAGAGAGAGGAGCCCCGCCTCCCCATTAGGGGGCTACACTCTGCCCCAGGACCTAGGCGTAAATAACCCGAGCCCTCCTCCCACGCACGCCGCCTGCCTCTGCGACCAAGGAGCCGAAGCGTCCGGAATGGCCAGCGTACTAACCGACTGGGAACCCGGGGGCGGGGAGCAGGGAGAGCCAACTCCGCGGGCCGGAGCGCCCGCTCTGCGCAGGCGGCGGCGCAGCGAGAGCGTGGCGGGCTAGAGTGTCGACGCATTCGGGCTCACGCGTGGTTATGACGTCATAATTAATTGCGAGCCTCATCTCAAGAGCCTGTGAGGTGGAGCCAAGCCTCCAAAGGGAGATTGCGGTTCTACCTTGGCCCTGTGACGTCTAGTAAGAAAACCCGTAACCAGTGCTGCGCTTCTGGCTAATTTTCCTACCAGCGCCCAATCTTTGGATATTTATTTTCTTTGTCTCACATCCTACAAAGGCCCAGGGAAGCGGGGGTCCTCCTGAAAACTGTACTATACCGAATACTGATTTCTTTGGATTAGAGAACTACAACTCCCGCCGTTCCTGAGCCAGTTTTTCTCTTTTACGGCTGTGTGGTGGTTAAAAACAAAAGCTATCTGGGGTTTAGAGTTCTAGTGACCGTTAGGGTCCGCTGGTCGAGCGTGAGCTCTGCAGCGCCCCACCTGCCTTTTGTGCTTTGGGACAGTTCGGGGCACTTGGAAGGAGTGAGTGGGCTGCCGCCGCTTCTTCTTCTTCTGTTTTTTTTTTTTTTGAGACAGTCTTAGTTGCTCAGACTAGAGTGCTGTGGCGTCCTGGGCTCAAGCGATCTTCCTGCCTTAGCCTCCCGAGTAGCTAGGGCTACAGGCGCGCGTCATCACGCCTGGCTAATTTTTTCTGTTTTTTTGGTAGAGACGGCGTTTCGCTCTTGCTCAGGCTGGTCTTGAACACCTGAGCGCAAGGGATCCTCCTGTCTCGGCTTCCCAGAGTGCTAGGATTACAGGTCTGAGCACCGCGTCTGGCCCTCTGAGTGGGCTTCTTAAGTGACAGGAAGTGGGAAGTCCGGAGGAATGCTTTGTCCCACAGGAGAGGAAGCAGGGATGACACTTGGGAAAGGGCGCAGGACTTTGGAGGTAGTGGAACAGAGGAGCTTGGGGCTCCCCACTCCTTCAGCTCCTGCCATAAGTGGGATGCTCACAGTAGTCAAGGGAACTTCTTAGGTAGGACTTCATAAGACTTAGGTCGTTTGAATTTCAGTTGCATACTGCCTACTACCTCTTTTCCACCTCCTGCCTGTCCAACTCTAAATCATGTGGTCATCCATTAACTGAGCAGTTGACATTTCCCTAATCTTTTATAAAACATGAAGATAAGTATCTTTAGAAAATCTTGCTGTTTTCATTCATCTGTCACCTACAATCTAAGTAGAAACTTGTTCTGAAGGGGGAGCTTCTAGTTGAGTTTTCTCCCAGCTTCCCAGCACCTTAACCCTGAGAGCCATCATTATTTTCTTCTCTGAAGGACACAAGCTGTGGTCTTTCCTTGGGAGAGGCTCCCATCTGCCTTTGTCTACAGCAATGGAGAGATCACCATAGTGAAGGGGTAAAAACTCTCAGCAAGCTGTGGAAGAGTGACAAACTCCATTATTTTGCATAACTGTGAAATTGTGTGCTATTTTGACTGTCTTACAAAAGGAGATCCGTTGCTGATAATAGTAGGCAGTTGTGTTTTTTGTTTGTTTGTTTGAGACAGAGTCTCACTTGGTTCCCCAGGCTAGAGTGAGTGCCATGGTGTCAGCCTAGCTCACAGCACCCTCAAACTCCTGGGCTCAAGCTATCCCGAGTAGCTGGGACTACAGGCATGCGCCACCATGCCCAGCTAATTTTTTGTATATATATATTTTAGTTGGCAAATTAATTTTTTTCTATTTTTAGTAGAGACAGGGTCTTGCTCAGGCTGGTTTCAAACTCCTGACCTCAAACGATCCGGCTTCCTTGGCCTCCCAGAGTGCTAGGGTTACAGGCATGAGCCACTGTGCCCGGCCCAGTAGGCAGTTTTTATTCTTATTTTTGTCTTTCTCCTTTGAAAACAGAAATTGAAATTAGCCCTCCACCCTCCCTAGTTTTGACACACATTTAGCGAACATCCATCATGAGTTGAATAACTATGCAGTAAAGGAACAAAGCATTATAAGGCTTGGATCTTCCCCAACACAAGTTCACAATCTGTGTTTTTTGTTTTTGTTTTTTTGAGACAGAGTTTCACTTTGTTGCCCAGGCTAGAGTGAGTGCCATGGCATCAGCCTAGCTCACAGCAACCTCAAACTCCTGGGCTTAAGCAATCCTTCTGCCTCAGCCTCCCAAGTAGCTGGGACTACAGGCATGCACCACCATGTCTGGCTAATATATATATATACATATATATATATATATACATATGTATATATATATTAGTTGGCCAATTAATTTCTTTCTATTTATAGTAGAGACAGGGTCTCGCTCTTTTTTTTTTTTTTTTTTTTTTGAGACAGAGTCTCACTTTGTTGCCCAGGCTAGAGTGAGTGCCGTGGCGTCAGCCTAGCTCACAACAGCCTCAAACTCCTGGGCTCAAGCAATCCTGCTGCCTCAGCCTCCCGAGTAGCTGGGACTACAGGCATGTGCCACCATGCCTTGCTAATTTTTTCTATATATATTAGTTGGCCAATTAATTTCTTTCTATTTATTGTAGAGATGGGGTCTCACTCTTGCTCAGGCTGGTTTCGAACTCCTGACCTTGAGCAATCCACCCGCCTCAGCCTCCCAGAGTGCTAGGATTACAGGCGTAAGCCACTTCCCCTGGCCAGGGTCTCGCTCTTGCTCAGGCTGGTTTTGAACTCCTGACCTCAAGCAATCCGCCCGCCTTGTCCTCCCAGAGTAGTAGGATTACAGGCGTGAGCCACCTCGCCCGGCCTACAATCTGTTCAATAAAGTATTTATATAATACATATGCAAGCTGAGACTGGGGCAAAGTTGAGATCTGTGTTCCCTAACCTCAAGGAATACAAATGAATAATTAGAATACAATAAAAGTACACTAGTAGGTAACAAAATGTGAGAGCCAAGGATATGCATAGGAAACAAACATATCTGTAAACTTTAAGGAAGACTGGTAAATGCTTTAATAAAATGATACAATTCTATGGCAAATATAAGAAAAAGATGCTCAGATATTAAGTGGTAAGGATCATCAATCAAAAAATTATTAATTTAGAGAACTTAGGATCACAGACTCTAAGTACTGCGCTAGATGCTATGTACAGAGAAATAAAAGTAAGATGATCATAATTTTAAAATCTCAAAATAGGTATATAAGGCAAATAAGAGTATACCTAAGAGGTCAAATACAGAATATTTGATATCAGGTCCTTTCTGTAATATAGAGACATCATTACAATTTAGATGTAAATTACAGTTCCTACCATTTATGAGCCTGTTTCAGTATTAAATGTTAAAAGTGATACATGAATACAGATATCACAATGTAAACCATGATTAATTTTCAAATGAGTTGTAGAATTAAAAAATGTAAAGTGTTGAAGGCAAAATCACTTTGATGTAGTAGACCAGAAAGACTTCATAGACAGGGTCTTGACTTGTGAAGGATAGATAGCTACCATTTTTATTGAGAATTTACCAAGTTCTTTACATTTAATTTCATACTTGTTCTTTTTAACCCTGAAAGGCAGATTTTTGTCTTATATCTCCATTTTATAGGTGAGGAAACTGACATAAGGAGAAGTTAAGTTACTTGCCCTGAGTCACACACCTAGAAAGTGGCAGAATTAGGATTCAAATCTGGTTCTGGCAGGTTCCAATGCCCATGTTTCTAACCATAAATGTTATAAAAGGCACAGAGATGAAATGCCAGGCATGCTCAGTGGCTTAAATACGACCTCACAGTAAACTCAGATTAGACCAGAGACGACACATAAAAGTTGGTAGTCTTCATTTGTGTTGCCATCAGCCTGCCCTATAAATAAACCCAGAGTAACTAAAAGTTCCCATCCTGAAGGGTTCAGCAGGAAATAATCTCATAATGTATTTAGGGTGAAGGATGGTTGGCAGTAGAAGGCAGGCGAGCAGAGAGTTGGGCAATCAAATGAGAACAGAATTTCAAAAGAAAAGATTAGAAGGCAGAGATGCTGTATGTCCTAATAGAGGCAGAGAGGGCTCGGATCAAGCAACTGCAGAAAGAGGATGAACTGATAAAACGGAAGATGAGAATTATCTCAGAAGGCAGAGAAGACTCAAGGACTGAGAGATCTGACATAAATGTACTCGGGCAACACCTCACCAAAGAGCCTGTCTCTTCCTACTCACAACCCTGGATACAAGATTCAGAATGGTTCATGCTGAGTCCACAGGAGAAGTATGCTTGTAGTTCATATGAAAGGAGAGATTCTCTTTTTATTAAAAGAACATTCATTATTCTCCACCATAGTAACGCAGTGGTTTCCCATGAGCGAAATGGCCCTGCTGTAGTCCTGCCCATTAGCAGACTTTTTTCTTTGTGAGGGAAATATCCTTGGTCTTAGCCAAAAACAATTGTGTTCTTTTACTCAGACAGTATGTGAGGAGATGTGTTCTGATACCTCCTACATTCTAATTTACCTTTCCTGTTTTATTTTACAGATTGGCCTGGGCTAAATCATCTAAAGATCCTCGGATTGCTGCAGGTCAGCAGTCCCCACTGGAGAAAAAGATCTTGGTAAATAATTATCTTCATATCATACAGTTTGGAACTACTGGGAGAAAGAATCTTAGATTAAAATCCTTCTGTGTGGCTGGGCGTGGTGGCTCACGCCTGTAATCCTAGCACTCTGGGAGGCCGAGGCAGGCGGATTGCTCAAGGTCAGGAGCTCGAAACCAGCCTGAGCAAGAGCGAGACCCCATTTCTACTATAAGGAGAAAGAAATTAATTGGCCAACTAATATATATAGAAAAAATTAGCCAGGCATGGTGGCGCATGGCTGTAGTCCCAGCTACTCGGGAGGCTGAGGCAGGAGGACCACTTGAGCCCAGGAGTTTGAGGTTGTTGTGAGCTAGGCTGATGCCACGGCCCTCACTCTAGCCTGGGCAACAAAGTGAGACTCTGTCTCAAAAAAAAAAAAAAAATCCTTCTGTGTAAGTGACATCTTCAGATAATATGTCTATACTGGCAAAAGTTTACCAGTTATAGCCATAGTTACAAAATAAAATATCATTTTGAAAACTCCCAACATTACATATTTTTAAAACTAGTTGTTGATTTGTGGTGGTGAGTACTTCATACTTTCAGAGGCCACAGGTTCACCTGGGAGTGATGGAAGTAAAATCACAATTATTATAGTAAAGTAAATAAAAGAACACATAGCTTTTCTTGGTGTCTATAGGGAGGGGAGGCTTCTGTTTAAATGTGTTCAAAGGAAAAAGGTGATCTCATTATAAAGTTCTGAACCTCACTTTGACAGAATCTAGGTGGCGTGCATACAACAGCAGCAAGACAGTTGATAACTCAGAGATATCAAGAGGAGTATGAAACACTCTGTAGGGAGCAAGCCCTTTCTCTTGACTACTGGCTTGCCAAAGCAGAGTCTTATTATAATAAAAGAATAGTGGAAATGATGAAAGAAAAAGAGACAGCTAATGAAATCAAGAAGAAAATGGAGGGGAAAACAACCCAAAGCATAGAAGGACTAAAACGGTGCTATTTGGTACATGAGAGAGAGAAGAAACATATAGAGAGGCATATACATAGAACAGGACAGGCCAGAGAATTTACGAACAAAACATTTAAACAAGTACTACAACCTCTCAGTGAAACAACATTACCAAAAATTATGTCAGAAGAGCACAGTATCGACAATGCACAGAGAAGAAAACAGGCAAATGAGAGGGAACAGATGCAAATTAAAGATCATCAGGAACGCATGATTCGAGGGAGAGAACTTACAGAGCAAAGACTCAAAGAAAGAATCTTGAGAAAAAGCCAGAGTCAGCTACCTACACATGAGAAGCATGAAAGAGTAAAAAAAGAGATAAAAGAGTTTGAAAGAATTATTGCATATCCACTTTTCCAACCACTCAGTAGAAGTCAGATTAAAGTGAATATTCTTATGGAAAAGTCTCAGAATGGAGAAGAAGCAAATGCAATTATAAAACCTTACCAGAGAAGATTCTTGGCTGTGCCACCCTTTTTGAGAAGTCAAATAGGAAAAATAAAAGATTAGCAAAGTTTCAGTGCTTTTATGATAAAATCATATCTTTTTTTTTTTTTTTTTGAGACAGAGTCTCACTCTCATGCCTGGACTAGAGTGCTCACAGCAACCTCAAACTCCTGAGCTCAGGCGATAGGTAGCTGGAACTACAGGCCTCCCAGCCTCCCAGATAGCTGGGACTACAGGCACGTGCCACCATGCCTGGATAATTTTACTTTTCTATTTTTAGTTGTTTGGCTAATTTCTTTCTATTTATAGTAGAGACGGGGTCTCACTCATGCTCAGGCTGGTCTTGAACTCCTGAGCTCAAGCAATCCTCCTGCCCCGTCCTCCCAGAGTGCTAGGATTATAGGCGTGAGCCACCACACCTGGCCCCAAATCATATCTCTTAAGTGAACCTTCTTTTAAAAATGCTAGCTCTCATAATTCCCCAGGGTTCAGTGAATATTCCCATTTGTATCAAATACAGATGTATATGATAGTTTTGGACTTGAAAACTATCTTTTATGTTTTTAGTTGCCTTGTGTTTGTTTAAGGTGCTTATCCTCTCTGATGTTCATTTTCCTCATCTGTAAAGTGGAAATAATAAAAATTCATAGTATTCATGGAAGGATTATGATTTTTTGTGAAGCATTATTGTGTATTAGTTGTTTCATAAATATTAGTTTCTCCACTTGAGAAGACCTGGATTGGGCAATGATGAATAAGGAATTGTACTAATCTGCCTCTCATTTCTCCCTGCTCACAACCCGCCAAGGTTATTTCGATGAGATTGCGATAGTTCAGTATATATCTGGCCTTTAATTTCCTGTTCATGCCTTCATTAAAGAACTACTAACCAGGCCCTAAAAGTGGAATTTGCACCATACAATTTATTTGGAGGAGAAAGTTCCCCTGTGCTAGGCATCGTGTTAGTCACTGAGGGTGAATAAAGAGACACCTCTGCCCTTGAGCAGTTTACAGCTGATGGCAGAGGTCACTCTATAAACAGGTAATGTGGCAAAGGTTATGATAGAGGGGACAGGGTGCTGTACAAAGGAAGGACTCTAACCTGGCCTAGGTGAGCAGGGTGAAAAGGAGGAAGAAGGAGGTCAGAGAAGAAATGTAGTAATAATATGTCCTGTTTCTTCCAGCTCTCTTCACCACTTTCTCTCACACACTTAAGCAAGACCCTTCTCAGTGTTTGGATCCACCAGGGTAATCAAACTCAGCCTCTTTCAAATTCATGCCTCCAATACTCATTTATAAATCAGAAATCAAATTTATGAATTTGATGAGAATTTTAATTGCCAAGCTAAATGAAATTTATTGTTTTCCAGTCAGTTCATTTTCTTTCCAAATACCAGAAAGGTGGGAAAGTAGAGATTCAGAGTTGGTGAGCAGAGAAGCAGAGAAGTGGAAATTGGATATCCTAAGGAATATTATGCTTAAATTGTGACAATCCTGATGCCCACCTTCTTACTAGCAGAACATCCTTTACCCTGGATATTGCTAGGTCAGTGCTGTTGAATACAACTTTCAGCTATGATAGAAATGTTCTATATCTGTGCTCTTCAACACAGTAGCCACTTGCTACATGTGGCTATTGAGGCATTAAAAATGTGATTAGTGAAGCTGAGGAATGGAATTTTAAATTTAATTTAATTTTAATTAATTTAAATTTAAATTGCCACATGTGGCATGTGTCTGCCCTATTATACAAAGCAGCACTGGATAAACATAACTCCTGTTATGACTCTATGTCTAGATTCCAGTCCTACCGTCAGCTTTCTGTCTTTGACAGTGTTGCTGCTAGGATAGATCACTGCTTGTCTTACATTAGTGTCTGTTTAGTTTCCTTTATATTTCAGAGCCCCCCTAATGCCTTAAAGAGATTAAAAAGGCAATGTAGACAACTTTGTGGAAATGAGATGGTTGAATTTGCTTAAATTGGGTTTTGGAAATGGCCTTCTCTTTGCTAGTTCTGGAATTTAGCCGGGATGTGCACCAAAATGTCATTCCTACCCACCTTACTTGCCTCATACAAACCTCTGTTCTCTGGTCTTCTATGACTGTGTCCCAGCTTTAGATTCTATATCTTGCATAGAAATGGATCGTCACAAAGCAAGAGGAAGAAGACTTAGAAATCCAAATCAACAGAATAATATCAAACCCTTTGAGTTGAGTGGGACTGAAAAGAAATGTAATATATAATCAATTAATAATTATTTACCATGAAGATTTTCAATGCTAGACACATAAATTGCTGAGTTCAACTGCCCTCTTTCTCCTCCAAATCTAGCCTAAAATAACCAGTGATCTTAGAGCAATTTCACACCTAACATGGCTAAAAATAGAAATCTGTGGTTAAAGAGTTTGTATAAACCTGAACACATCATCTCCGTTTCACAAATTATATTCACCTTTTCATTTCCTTGTACTGGGTGTAAATGATACTACCAAGCACTCTTGCCAAAATCTTGAGTCACACTTAATGTCTTTTTGGTCCAATTTCCTTTTTTATTTTCAATTGGAAATATACAACTGAATATGTTATATATATATATACAGTTGGAAGAACAGTAATAAATGTCCAGTGCCCATTGCTCAGGCTGAGAAACGGAATGTTACTAAAACTTAGGAGCCCCTGTATGCACTCCCCATTCATATCCCTGTCCCCTGCTCCCAGAGGCAACTGCTATCCTGAATTTTGTATGATTGTCGTCTAGCTTTTAGTGACATTCATACAAAATTCAGGATAGCAGTTGACATCTAGCTTTTAGATTTTACCAATTGTGTAGATATCCCTAAGTGATACAATTTTTTATAGTTGCTTGTTTATAGTGTTTATGTAAGTGGAATTATACTGAACTTACTTTATATGACTTACTTTAGCTCATTTTTATTTTTGGATTCATCCATGTTGATGTGTGGTCCTGTAGTTCATTTCCATGACATGAATATGCCACAACTTAAGTATGTATTGTACTGTTGATGTCATCGGGGTTATTTCTGGATTTTGTCCTATTTTATTTTATACACGATACTTCTGTAAACATTTTTTTAAACATGTTCTGGTGCCTGTGTGCAAGAGTTTCTCCAAGACATAAGTTGTGGCACGTTCCCATGACAGGCCTGATCCTGGAGCTTTTAAATTTCTATTCCATTTTGGTTTCATACTTGTCAGCCTGTTCCGTGGAGTCAGGCACATATTAAACTCAAATATTTATTGAAAGAAAGAAGGACATTTGTTAATTGCTGGAAAAATATCTGTGTCCTTTAGCCAGCACTAAAATACAAAAACACTGATAACATACCATTTTACCTCTTTACATCCTGTCCATGCCCAATCATAGCCAGTCTTTGTTCTTATATTTCAGTTGAGATCCTAAAATATTTTTTTACTTATCCTAATTGATTTCAATATTCTTCCAATAAATTCAAGATTTGTTTCTCTACCCCCTTTTCCAGCGCTAGAAAGCTTTCTAGGTAAGGTCACCCACACGCCCTCTCCCCAAGGCAGCTAGCAACACAATAAAGTTTCATTAAATTCTGAACAAAGAGTTCCCAGAGAAGGAAAGAGAGTCTCCTTTTAGTACCAGGTTGCTGGAGTACCTAGAGGGCCAAGGACTGTGTGGTGGTTCCTTCTCCTCTGCTGGAGAAAAGTCCAAGGTTCTTAGCCATTAAGTACTCTGAGACTTAGCCTTGATAAAGTATTGAATTCAAAGTGGCAGAGTTGGGACTCAAAACAAATCTCCCAGGCCGGGTGTGGTGGCTCACGCCTGTAATCCTAGCACTCTGGGAGGCCGAGGCGGGCAGATTGCTCGAGGTCAGGAGTTCGAAACCAGCCTGAGCAAGAGCGAGACCCCGTCTCTACCATGAATAGAAAGAAATTAATTGGCAAACTAATATGTATAGAAAAAATTAGCCGGGCATGGTGGAACATGCCTGTGGTCCCAGCTACTCGGCAGGCTGAGGCAGAAGGATCACTTGAGCCCAGGAGTGTGAGGTTGCTCTGAGCTAGGCTGACGTCAGGGCACTCACTCTAGCCTGGGCAACAAAGTGAGACTCTGTCTCAAAAAAAAAAAATCTTCTGACAGCGCTTTATTGGAAAAAAAAAAAAAACAACAAATCTCCCAATTCCAAACACAGTTTTATATGATTTTTCAAATGAAATAAAAATGCTAAGGTGCTTTATAGCCATAAAATACCATATAATATCATGAATTGTTATTGTCCTTCTGTTGGTTTTCTTCATCTACTATCAGATATATGGTTTGCAAATATTTTCTCCAGTATGTCTGTGGGTTATCTCTTCATTCTGTTGATTGTTTCCTTGGCTGTACAGAAGTCTTTTAGTTTGATGCTATCTCATTTGTATGTTTTTGCTTTTGTTGCATGTGCTTTTGGGCTTATAGCCAAAAAAATCATCACCCAGATCAATGTCAAGAAGCTATTTCCCTGTGCTTTCTTCTAGTAGTTTTACAGTTTCAAGCCTTACATCTAAGTTCTTAACCCATTTTGAGTTGATTTTTGTATATAGTGTGAGATAAAGGTCCCATTTCATTCTTCTGTATGTGGATATTCAGTTTTCCCAATACCATTTATTGAAAAGACTGTCCTTTCCCCATTTTTGGTTGAGCTGCCAACAGGAGGGTATACCGGCCAGGCCAGCCTGAGGTTGCTACTGGGGAAAGAAGGAAGTATGCTGTCCAGGGATTTCCAAACCAGAGCTAAATATAGGTCTCCCCACTCATTTCACCCTGATTACATTTCACTCATTTCACTCCACTCATTATCCCCTGATTTTGGAGATAGCAGCATTCAGTGACCAAATTGCCTTACTAAGGTGTGTGAGCCAGGAAGAGGTAAAGGAGAAAGAGCAAGAAATCTTTTTTGGCTGACTATTGAGGGAGCTGTTTGCTTGTGAATGGTGGTAGGCAGCACGGAAGGCCCATTGCCTTGCCTGTCAGCTCACTGCTGAGTAGCTTTGCAATAAAAGATACACTATTGTCAGACTGTCAGGGCGGTCAACCAAAACCT